CGTATCTTCTTCATCCTGGATAATTTAACCGTCTCCCGCAGAGACATCCACCACGTGACACAGCAGTGACTTGCTCATTAAGCAGCTTCTTGGTGAGGCAGTAGCGCCTTCCGCGCTGTTTAATGCTCAACCCAACCAAGTCCTGTGGCAAGACGGAGTCTGGACGACCGGAGACGAGACCTGCGCATGAAATGCACACCTGTCCCGCGTTGGGGTTTCTTAAAAAACAAGTTGGCTCAGATCCCACCTAAGTAGGAGAGCCATAAAGGTCACATTCAGAAGGAACCATTGCAGTCTAACTGTTCGTCCTGAAAAAAAGCCAGTTAGCCAACCAGCTGGCTAGCCAAGACATTTAGCGCGTCACGAAAGCTTAAAGGCGTATCAGACTTCTTATTGTGAGGAATGTGCTGAAGTAATGTGAGGACGTATTGCCCATTATCGATCCCACCCTGCCTCACTTCCCTTTCTCATACACCAGTCCACTGTCCGAGCCAGGCAGTCACTTGATGTTGTTAGTGGACGCAGTGGCCGGCGTGAGCCTGCTTCCAGGCGTGCTGCACTTCCCTGCGCGTGTGTGTGTGTGTTCGGCCCCCTAAACTGGCCGCGTGCTAGATGCGCTGGACTAACACGGAGGCCACATCGGATTCTGGCAGGCGTTATCTTGCGCAATAACAAATGCCAACATCTAGGGAGTGCGTTGGCATTCCTTGTTGTCGGCAGTCGCCGCAAAAGCTGGGACCACTGCCACGCCCTCCATTGTTTTGTGGTCATTTGTTGTGTGGACCAAGGGGTGCGGAGTGGAGCGCCAAGGTGCGGATCCGTCCAAACCAGACACCTGCGGCCTCCGTAATGTCCGATCTTCTTGACTCTGTCTTGACACCGAACTCCGGCGAAAGAGGAGGAGAGAGTGCGGTAGATGCAGCGCAAGTCAACTGGCAATATAAACCCCTGCGCAAGTCACCGTCCCTGCTCCCACCGCTGCTGCTGCAGCTGTGGGGCACACGGTGGACATCGTCAAAATCGACGGTCGAACTGTCGTGTGTGTGTGTGTGAGGTGTAGGGCTGTCCAGCGGTAGGTTCACGTGCTGGTCGTAGTGGTCGCTCACTGGCTTGCAGGTGAGACTACGCCTAGCGTCCATTTGCTGGCACTCAGCTCTCACATGTGGTTCCACGTAGCTGGGCTCTGCTCAGCGGCCACACCCTGGGCAACCGCCTCGACCGGCGGGTTAACCCAGGTGAGGGTACCCGTACGTGCACCTGCACGCGCGGTACTGCGGTCTGCGCTTGTCGGATGGATCTTCGCGAGGCTCTGTCTGGACCATAGTAGGAGGCCACCAGGTAAGTTCTTCTTCAGGTAAGTGAATTTGCTTTGCTTCTTCCTTTTGTCTGTTGAATTTCCGTGCCGTATGCTGCTCTTGCTGCCTGCCCACTATAAGTTAGTCTGTCTGTTAATAGCTAGATGAAATTCTCGATGCCTGCTGCGACTGTCTGTCTGTCAACCTATGCCTCACTCCCCTAATAGCTAGGTGTTACGGTGCTTGGAACTTAAATGGTGCCCTCTCGCTTCTGTCTCTGACTGATGACTGTGTCTGCTTGTCCACTCTAGTTCTAAGTCCCATAGCGTTTGGTTGAGTGTATGCTATCTCCTACTTCACTCCATCACATCACCATCACCACCGAGGTCCTAGGTTACTTCGGGTCGTTCTCTCACTAACAAAAAGTCGTGGCCCATAGTGGAGTACGGCAGCCGTCTGGGATAACCGGGCAGCCCTATTTAGGGATGCGCTGCCTGCCCTGGCGAGGGGGGGGGGAGAATAGGTGCCCTAAAGATCGCTGGGAACCACGCTGTCTGCAGGCTGGCCGTGGCCGCAGACAATACACACACGGTCGAACCAGCCAAAACCGAAACATCAACAACAATCACTCTCTTCCTCTTCCGTCCTTGTTCTCACCCTGCTGCTGGGCATACGGTGGGCATCGTCGGATGCGACAGCCGACTATCGTCTCTGTGTGTGTGACATTTGGTAGGGAACACTCACCGATCGTTATTATGGAACTCACTCGTTCAGTTGTGCCTTATGGGCTCTCTCTCGAGCACAACCAGCAGTAGTGGGGCATTTGTTGAGTAATGCGCTGACTCTGCGTGGCCCGGTTGTCCTACCGCAAACTGCACCTCCCCCCCCCTTTGCTCCACCACACTTCCAGACTGGCCTGATGAGGGACACGCCATAGAGGCCCACATTCACATACACACTGCCAGGCTCTTAGTGGCACACGGGGCCCTCCAACACCCTCCCCGGTCTTTTCCTTCTGCTCATCATCCTTATTGTGAGGAATAGATCTTCTTTTTTATGTGGTCTATTTTGATCTTCTTGGAATCTGCACTTGATCGAGAAATCCGACTAATATGCCCCGGAATTTGACTACTGAGACGGAAGACTGCCAAGGGCGGTTTCAGCCTACCCGACTGCATCCTTACAATGCTACTGCAAGCTGGTGACGTTTAAAATTTTGGACTGTTATTCGTGGAATTTTTCTGCATTTTCGTGTTTCTTTAATATGTCGTCAAGTATATGGTTAGGCCACTTTGCAGACAAACGCGCGTCTCCTCCTGTTGTGTGGAGTGGCGGAATGGTAGGCTGGGGACGGGCTAAAGCAGCACCTTCCACGGCCCTCTCACGCCAGTGAGGGACACGCCGTTCAACCCCCGTTGTCTGAAATCCTGATGTTTGTGTGTATGGCTGCCAGGTCGTGCTCGTGGCGCGCGCCGGCATTGTCAGTCGACCGTGCCAGCCACCGCACCCACTTCCCACTCCAGTCTGCTGACCGGCTCAGACAGCTGCTAGGGTGTGGAAATGGGAAGGGAGAGTGAGGCTGACGACTCAGCGCACTTGTCCTCACTGTAAACAATCTGACGCGCTTGAAGCTATCACGGTGCGCTAAAAGCCCTGGCTTGGAAGGGGTAACGGGGTAAGTTTGGGGTAACGGGGTAACTTGGACCTCCTCCTTGACCGGTGATGGTCTGAGAGTCAGGCTACAATGGTCCCTTTTTAATGTGGCCTTTATGGCACTCCCACCACAGTGTGGGATCCGAGCCAGGCGTTGACGGCACGCCTAGATGCGGCTTCGGTCGTGACAGCCTCCAAATCTCTGTTGTGTTGATTGAAATCCTGGTTATTGTTGTGTGGGCCAGGGGGTGCGGAGTGGAGCGCCAAGGCGAGGATCCGTCCGAGCCATCCACCTGCGGCCTCTCTTGTCGCCGGTCTTCTTGACTCTATCTTGACACCGGGCTCAGGCGGGAGAGGGGAAGAGAGTGCGGTAGTTGCAGTGCAAATCTGCCAGCACTATAAACCCCTGCGCAAGTCACCGTCCCTGCTCCCACCGCTGCTGCAGCTGTGGGGCACACGGTGGACATCGTCGAAATCGACGGTCGAACTGTCGTGTGTGTGTGTGTGTGTGTGCCCTCAAAACGGGCCACGTGTTAGATGCGCTGGACCAACACGGGGGCCACATCGGACTTTGGCAGGCGTTATCTGTGCGCAATAACAAATGCCAACATTCCCGGGGTGCGCTGGCGGACCCTGTTGTCGGCATTCGTCGCTCAACTGGACCACTGCCTCCGCCCCATTGTTTTGTGGTCAAAATCCTGGTCTTG